AAATATAAATATCGACTCAAAGAATGGGAATATAAGATTAGTCAGAAGCTTGTAAAACTGTGAAGAATTCATTTCCGACCCTATAATCATATATATTCCGATCAGCACAAAAAGCTGAATCGATTAAGCTATGTCCGGTTGAAAAATTTTTTTTCAAGATTTGTTCGATTTGCAAAAAATGATAAGGGGTTACATCATTAAAATTGTCAAAAATCGACAAACAATTTTCATTCTTTTACATTTAAATTGAGTATGCAGTTTTATTGCCCCAAAATTAACGAGCATAGGAAGCTTCCGACTTAAAATTAATGCATTTTGGCTTAGTTATGAGATTTTAAAATTGATTTATTGACAAATTGTCATAAAAAATATTGCTTCAAAGAATGGTTTATAGTTTTAATCAGAAGCTTGAGAACTTCAAAGGACTAGTTTCGAGTAAATGAGTATGCAGTTTTATTGCCCAAATAGAAACCGTCATAGGAAAGGTTTCCGACATGAAATTATTATTTCTGGCTTAGTTATGGCATTTTTAAAATTAGATTTATTGTAAAATTTGTCATATAAATATAAATATGACTCAAAGAATGGAATATAAGATTGTCAGAAGCTTGTAAAACTGTGAAATTCATTTCCGACCCTATAAATCATATATATTCCTGATCAGCACAAAAAAGCTGAATCGATTAAGCTATGTCCGGTTGAAAAATTTTTTTCAAGATTTGTTCGATTTTTGCAAAAAATGATAAGGGTTACATCATTAAAATTGTCAAAATCGACAAAAATTTCATTGTTTTACATTTTAAATGAGTATGCAGTTTTATTGCCCAAAATAACAGCATAGGGAAGCTTCCGACTTAAAATTAATGCATCTTTGGCTTAGTTATGAATTTTAAAAATTTGATTTATTGACAAAATTGTCATAAAAAATATTGCTTAAGAATGTTTTATAGTTTAATCAGAAGCTTGAGAACTTCAAAGGAATAGTTTATGAGTGAATTGAGTATGCAGTTTATTGCCCAAATAGAAACCGTCATAGGAAAGGTTTCCGACATGAAATTTATTAATTCTGCTTAGTTATGGCATTTTAAAATTAGATTTATTGTAAAATTTGTCATATAAAATATAAATATCGACTCAAAGAATGGAATATAAGATTAGTCAGAAGCTTGTAAACTGTGAAGAATTCATTTCCGACCCTATAAATCATATATATTCCTGATCAGCACAAAAAGCTGAATCGATTAAGCTATTCCGGTTGAAAATTTTTCAAGATTTGTTCGATTTTGCAAAAAATGATAAGGGTTACATCATTAAATGTCAAAAATCGACAAAAATTTCATTGTTTACATTTTAAATGATATGCAGTTTATTGCCCCAAATAACTAGCATAGGAAGCTTTCCGACTTAAAATTAATGACATTTTAGCTTAGTTATAAAAAAAAAAAAAAAAAAAAAAAAAAAAAAAAAAAAAAAAAATTTGCATAAAATTAAATTATTATTGACAAAATGTCAAAAAAATATTGCTTAAAAATGGTTATAGTTTAATCAGAAGCTGTAGAACTTCAAGGAATATTTAGAGTGAATGAGTATGCATTTTATTGCCCAAATAAAACCATCATAGGAAAGGTTTCCGACTTGAAAATAATTAGTTTCTGGCTTAGTTATGAAATTTTTAAAATTTGATTTATTGTAAAATTTGTCATATAAAATATAAATATCGACTCAAAGAATGGGAATATAAGATTAGTCAGAAGCTTGTAAAACTGTGAAGAATCATTTCCGACCCTATAAATCATATATATTCCTGATCAGCACAAAAAGCTGAATCGATTAAACTATGTCCGGTTAAAAAAATAAAAACTAGCAAAGGAAGGCTTTTCGACTTAAATTTAATGCATATTTGGCTTAGTTATGCATTTTTAAATTTGATTTATTGTAAAATTTGTCATAAAAAATGTAGATGAATATGACTCAAGAATGGTTTTAAGGTTTTCATTGGAAGCTTCTAAACTGCGAAGGAGTGTTTTCCGAGTAAATTGAGTATGAGTTTTACTGTATTAAGAAAAACTAGCATATAAGAGCTTTCGTATGGAAATCAATGCAATTTGGCTTATTATGATCGATTGCACATTCCTACCTATGGCTCTATGGCTAACTGCAAGTGTTTGGCAAGTTTGGCTTTCCGAAGACACCTTTCTTTCTTGTTTATTTTGAGTTTGAAAAGATTAGTCCATTAGTCTATTAGTCCATCTTGAACTCTGTTCTTTCCTGAAATTCTTATTGAAATGATTTCAGATGCTGGAACATTTTAGTTGAATCAAGTTCAAGCTACGATGATTTTAATCAACCGAAGAGGTATTTATCTGGACTTTGTTTCGCTTCCTTTTCTTTCCAGCACACTTTATCCCTACTTAATTTTCTTTCAATACTCCAACACATCTAGAGCTTTGTCCTTCAGCTGGACTTTTTCTGCTGCCTACTTAGTGGCGCATTGCATTTCCCACGCCATTCGTCCTTATCTCGGCATTATCGTCTATTTAATATTCAATCACTGGAATTGTTGGCATCCCTTTTGTTGGCTTGAATAAAAGCGGCATAATTTAGTTTTTATTAAATTCTTCTGTTTAATGCTTTTTATTCGGTTTAATTTTCTCTTATCCTTTTACACTTTGCTTCTGTTATTATCATAATGCATTTGAATTTCAATTGAACTTAAAAAATTAATTTATAACTAGATTGTGTTTTTTTCATTTGGTTTCTCTGACGTTTTCTCTCATTGTTATCCATTAAATGTTTGTGACCGTTTTCGCACTTAATATTTTGTTAATGCGTATATATGTCTTGCTTTGCTTAACAATTAACTTAATGCTAAACATTTTATCATTATTTCTGCAGTGTATTCCATATAATATTTAAAATTACTTTCCGTTCGGCAGAGTCCTGCCAGCAAATTCTTTTGTTCAGTATTCCGTTGAGTGTTTCTGTGTGTTTGTGTTGAGATTTAAACAGTTTTCTAGGCTAAAATGTATAAATTTTTTGTGTTTTTTCTCTGGTTTGTTTGTTTAATTTAGTTTCTGTTACTATATTCCTTTGGGGTGCAGCTTGCCGACTAACACACTTGGTGAAAATAAAACTTAATCATTCGCTAGGCATAGAAAACATACCGAGTACGTGAGTGTGTGTCTTGAAGGTGTTAGTGTTTGCCTTGTTCTTATAGCTAATGATTTATTTATGTAATTTACAGTACTCCATATGGCTTAAATGATTGCTTCTGCTCGTCGTCCCTCTCATATGCAGCTCTTCTATTGCTAATTGTTTGTTTGTTTGTTGTGGTTACTTACATTCTTCAAAATATTTTTTAAACATTTGCTACATGTTTTCTTGTCCCCGCATGCCTGACTTTTGCTTTAATTTACAATGGGGGAGCGTTGCGTTTTTTACTTTACATAACATTTACGTTAAAAGGGAAAGCCGGGCGCTGCTTAAACGATTCCTAGGGCTACATTTACATACAAGTCTCAAACGGTCGGGGTTAGCCTATATTAGTTAGTCCTTACAATGGTAGCCGCTATAATTTACGATATCTACGTTAAATGTTACCCGGAAACACTTGTGTTCTTGTCTGTTCGATTCGGTACAACAAACTTAAGGCGGGAGAATTAAAGTCTGGATGGGTGAGGTGATGTGATGGCTGAACACAGTTTGCTTAGGACCCAGAGAAAGTTCCGGGGAAAGTAAAGGCGATAAATTATTTAAATGCAACAGTGAAGCGGATGTGGCCCAAATTAAAATTTCATAAACTAGAGCATACTACAAAGGGGGAAGTCCTTAATGCCACTCGCGATTTTCGTCCGGAATTCCCCACTTAGCCTTTCAGGCACAAACCCCGCCACCGCCTTTGCCACCGATTGTGATTCCCATTCGGATTCCGGCACGGCTCCTGCGGAAGGTTCAACAGCCGAGTCCTCGAGCAGGGGAGTCCTTTGTGTTCCGGAGAGCAGGTGTCGCCATGGCGAAAACACATGCCACTTGGCTCTGAAGTGAGCCACCGGCTCGGAACCGCTGCGAAGTGGATCCCAAGGATCCGAGGAAGTGGTGAAGGGCTGTAAACCCTTGTCCGTCCCCCTGCCACGATTGTCAACTAACAACGCCGCCGAGAGTCGGACAACTCAATCGGAACACACATACAGGACATACAGGACACAGCAGTCCCTCAACACCCCAACACACACACACACCAGCACACACACACACATGTCTAGTCGTAGGCCCGGGATTTTCTTTGCCTTTCTTTGGTTCCCTTCATTGTGCTGCGGGGAGGCTGCTGAAAACTTTATATTAAATGAAAAAGTTTTTCAATTACATCAGCGGAAATAAAATGCTGCCAGCTTGCCACTCGAAGCACGCAGCAAACAGAAACAAACAACGACAAGAGTCTTTTGTTTAGCGGCGTCTTTGTTTTTCGGCTTTATTAGGTTAGGTCCTGTCCATTGTTCAGCCAGGTACCCTAAAAAGCCGCAAAAGTCCATCGAAAATGTGATGCAGTTGGTAAGAGAAGTGGGTCTTGAACCAACCATATTTTTTGGTTAGTAAATAATACAAAAAGTTAAAGAAATAAATGTTCATCTAAATAATAAGATTTTTGAGGAAACCAAACCTTCAAATATAAACATAAAATAAATCTAAATCCTAAATAAATCATAGAAAATATATCCTAGAACAAAGGCAAATGAGTATTCACCCTTCGGCTTGCCCCAGAGTCCTTTCTTCTGCGCTCCTTTCGCTTTTCTGGACTTGTTCTTTCGGTCTCGAATTTCGAGTTCTCTTTCGCTCTCTGCCAATATTAGGTTAAACTGGGTCTGCCTTTTGTTTGCTTGTTTTTTGCGGGCAAACCAACAAACAGAAAAAAAGGGGGAAGTGTAAGTAACGACAGGCAAGGACTTCGGGTAGAGGTCCTTTCTACTGCTGGGAAGGGTAAACTTAGGCTATGATGGTGGTGATCAGCCTGGCCGCTTACAGGGCCACTGAATCGTCTAAGGCCGCATCGTCCTGGCTCCGGGCTGGCTGCTGGCCGGGTCAAATGTCGCTGGTCTCCTGCCCATCGCCCACGTATCCCTCGTCGGGACTGTCGGCCAAGGGACCGTTAAGCTGTTTAAGTTCGCGGCCTCCGAGTCGCCTTCTCGCTGGCCGGAGGCACTGCAGCAGCGGCAGCGGAGGCGGCCTCCTCCAGACGCGGCGACTGGCCTCGCTCTCGTCCAGCTCGGGAATGCTGCAGGTCTGACCCTGCGCCTGGCCCGACGCCGTTGCCGGTGGATTCTGCTGTCCGGGCGGTGTGGCCACCGCTGGCTGACTGGTGGGCGACTGGGCGAATCGGTAGCCCGGCAGGCAGCTGGGCCACTGCTGGAACGGCGCCGGCATCACGGCCAGGTCGCTCTTGTAGCCCTCCGGAGGCGATGGGAATTGGTGTTGCTGCTGCAGGATCTGCTGCTGTTGCTGCTGCAGGATCTGTTGCTGCTGCTGCTGCTGCGGATATCCCTCGGCGGTGAAGCGCACATTGGGCAGCTGATACTTCTCGTAGCTGACCGTGGGACCACGCTGGATGAACTCCGCCTCCAGGCTGTAGCGCAGGGTGGGATTGCCGGCACCACCACCGGCTGCCGCCGCCGCCTGGAACTGCTGCTGCTTGTGCAACCTGTTATGGGGTAGCGTTCTGTAGAAATTGGCAGCAGGCTGCACTTGTTGCTGCTGCTGCTGATGCTGTTGCTGCTGCGGTGACTGCTGCACCAGGTGGGCACTGCTGTAGTCGTAGGCAAAGGCCCCGTCCTGACCCAGGAAACACACGGGTTCAGGTGCACGTCCACTTGATGCGGTGCCGGTTTCAGCTGCATGCCCCTGGGCAGTGTGGTCATCGCCTGGGTGAAGCGTCCCATTAGAGGGTGTCCTGGCAGTGGATGCGGATGCACCCCGGGATGTCCAGGATGCCCGGGGTGTCCGGGATGTGGAGCTGCCGCCAGCTGGTAGCAGCCTTCGTACTGTCCACAGTCGCTCTGGGTCTCGTACTCACCGGCTCCGTCCAGACTCACCGCCGTCTTTAGCTTGTGCTTCACGCTCTCCGCATCGTTGACCAGGTCAGGATTCTTCTCCTGATAGTTTCGCAGGGAGGCCGGTGGAGAGCAGTAGGCAGCGGCCAATCCATGGCCATTGCTCAAAGAAGGGCGGCGATCCGGACCAGATCCCATCAGGTTACATTCAGTTGCAGCTGTGCTGTGCGGGATTCGGCGTGGCATAGAGCAGCAGTTTTGCTTCATCTGGTGCCCAGAATGATGCCACCTCCGGCTGCTCCATTAGCAGCCTTGGTCGGTGTGAGAGTATCCCCTAGCAGCAGACCAGCGTTCCCATTGAGGCTGTCGCCTCCGTCGTTCAGAATCGAGGCGCATTTCATCATGCCCGTGTCCTGGGCACTGCCCGTAGAGGAGTCCGTGCCGCCAGCTATGCTCGTCACCTGGTCACACTTCTTGCGCTGCTTGGCCGGTTCCGAGGGCTTCTTGCACTTGACCACTATGGTGCAAAGGAGCACCACGAAGATGATGCCACCGCCGGCGCTGCTGGCTACTATATAGTTCATGTAGTCCCGCGGAAAGGAAACCTCGTTGACCACCGGCGGCTCTTTAATGATAACCCGCAGCGTGTAGTTGCTAAAGTAGTTCCGGCGATATTCTGACCCACGCAGGAGAAGGTGCCATTGTCCTCGGCGCCCACGTTGTAGATGAAGATCTCGCTGCGCTTCTCCTCGGCACCACTGTTGCCGATGGTCTCATCGATGTAGTAGAACATGTGCAGGTTATCCATCAGGCTGTCGTTGCTCATCACCTGGCCGTTAAACAACCAGAGGACCTTTGGCTCTGGAATGGCCCTCACCAAGCAGGTGATGGACATATTCCTTCCCTCGCTCACCTCTGTATAGCTGGACTGAGGACTCACCTCCGGCAGGCAGGCCAGTTGTCCCGCTGGAGGCCCTTGATCACCTGGCCCTTCAGGCGCGCCGGTTCCATGCACTTGGGCTCCTCCGCAAGCGGAGTGTTGTAGTTAACCAGCCAGGAGTGGACGTCCAGGAGGCGACAGTCGCAGGTCCAGCGGTTGCTGTGCAGGCTGATGCCATGCAGCGACTTGGGCAGGATGTGGTTGCCCTGGATGAAGCCAATTCTGTTGCCATCCAGACGCAGCCACTCCAGATTGTCCATGCCCACAAAGGCCTCGTTTTCGATGCGCTCCACCTGGCAGTTGGACAGCTCCAGCGTGGTGAGGAACGACAGGTGGCGAAAGGCTGAGGTTTTCAATTCCCTTATGGGATTTCCGCTGAGCGAAAGGCGCATCAGGGAGCTATAGTCCTGGAAGGTCTCGCTCGGCACATTCTGCAACGCATTATCGCTAAGATCCAGCTCCACCAGGTTGGTCAGGCCCCGGAAGGCCTTCTCATGGATCCGGATCAGTTGGTTCCGGGACAGGTAGATCTTCTGCAGGTTGAGCAAGTCCATGCGCAGGAAGCGCTCCGACTGCAGCACCTGCAGGGCATTACCGCTAAAGTTGAGCACCTGGGTGCCGGGGTCCATGCCCCGGGCAGGTTGGACAGCTGCTGGCCCCCGCATTCCACGGTCTGCTTGCCGCCCTTCCACTTGCACACACACACCTCGGGGGACAGCTCCGCACCGGGGACAGGATCAGGGTAACCGCTGCGAGGAGCACTATCGAAAATTGCTGGCAACGACCCATTGTCTCAAGTGCTCCGGTATTGGCTGTCTTTTTGTTCAGAGAATTTTTGAGTGTTTTTTTTTTGCTTTTTAACTGACTTTATGGTTCTTGAGTAAATATTTTGCCAGCTGGGTCACGTTGGCATGTCAAGTTAGGCCGTGGAACTGGCTCCGCGGGTAAATGTTATTAGCCGATCGGAGGCGGTCACGTTTAGGCGAACGGAGTCGGGCCACGAGAGGAGGAGCGGTGCTGCCATTATTGTCGCTATCGAGTGCCGCTCATCGTTGTCCTGGCGCCGCCGCCGCTTTTGTCATGGCTGCCACTTCCGCTTCCACTTTAACTTCCGCTGGCACTTCTACCGCCTCGGCTTCAGCTGCTGCTCCTTGCCGTGTGCTTTGTATTAATTTCATAAAAATGCCAGGCTCTTATTCTCGCTTGACAGCGCCCAGAAGTAGGCAATGGGCTCCCCGTCTATTGTCGCCCCTTTGCGGCTTTCCGACTTTCGCCGCACGCCTTTCTCTTCGTTATCCTTTCTGTCGGCACCGCTTTCCTTGGGCGCTCTTTTATCTCCTGGCAACGTTGTTTCACCGCTGGCAGAGAAAGGCTTTTGTCCTTAATGAAATTATAATGTAATGCATTTGCCGCGTGTTCTTGTCGAAGTTGTTTTGTGTGTCCTTAAATGGCGGTTCCTGCAAGAAAATTAAAAAAGAGGTAAAGAAAAGAGATTAGTCAGGAGGAAAAAAAGCGAAATTTTGTTCATATTGGTTCTTAGGTTTCTCTTAAAGTTAATACGGAAACTAATTAGGTAATACAAAAATTCACAAATAATTTTAAAATATGATTACGTCTTGTTGAATTTATTGAGAATTGCATGTGTAAAAAATATTTTAAACTTCAATATTATTTGCATTATATTAGTGTTAGTTTCATATTAAATATGCCATTTATTATCTGTATGGCAGACAAATATTAATTACAAATCGATGAGCCGCGGATTCTAAAATATAACCCAACAAAAATATATGATAAATACATAAAATATTTTGCCTTTAATCCCAGACATGTTTTGCAATTCCCGATTACAGTCAAACTAATTTTCTAGCGTGAGATTAACCGGCAAATAAATTGAAAATAATTTGGCGCATTATCTGCGTGACATGGTTCCATAATTGTGCTTGGACAAGGTAATTTATTCCCAATAATAAACTTACACATTCACACACGGGCGGTTGATTTATTTTAAATATGCTTCACAGCAAACTGCAACTGTGATGTTCGTGTTTCAACGAGGCCCCTGAATTATTCAAGTGTTTGTTTTCTTTTATAATGAATCGCATCGGATGAAGTTGGTTCGATATCAGCTTGAAAGCAACAATAAGCTAATTATTATACGAATCGATATCACGGCTATGTAAATGCATATCCGGTTGGATAAAATGAAATGAAATGAAAATCGCAATGGCAGTCGCATCCCTTCGTTGACACAGCGAAAGCACGAATTGAGTTGGCATTGTCCGACTTTAATTGGATGGAAATGGATTGGTCGCTGTGTTGACATAATCCCAATAATTTGCTGGCCCCATTAAGGCACATCATTATGTTTCCACCTTGTCCCCGCCGTTATTTGCGTATTATTCATATTTTTATGAGGGCGGTTCATTAAATTGTCCAGGACAAGGACCAAGACCAGAACCATTTTGACATTTATATTTGTCAAAATTAATCTAAGTGAAAAACAAGAAATGAAGGTAACTTCAAGAAGGTGAAGTTTGTATACACTTGCAGTTGGCCATATTATTATGGGTTAGATTTTGCAATCAATAATAACAAAGCTTCGAACTCATAAATATTAATTTAATAAGCTTTCCTTTTCTATTTATATTTCTATTTCAATTTTTTAATTTAGGTATATTCGAAATTAATACTTTTAAATGACAATTGTTTTGGATTAATCAAGGTTTTTCCAATATCATAAGTAAGCCACGTCCACCACGGCGTATACTTAATATGTGAAATTACGCATACGCCCCATGGGAAGATTTTCTTCTACCTTTTACTAACCAATACTTTGTTAATATTATTTACTATTCAATTGAAATTTGTATTGCAAATGGAAATATGTATGATTTTAAGCAATCAGTGGCTACTTGACCTTCCATGCTAAAGGAAAAAACTCTGTTTTTGTGTATGCAAATTTTGTATGCGTAAATCAAAGTATTTAAAATGTCATACGTAAGCCAATTTTAATATATAGAAAGCGTTTTGTGCTAGTTTTTATAGGGCCAACAAATTTGCATACGCAGTTTTTAAAACAAAAACTTAATTTTTTGTAGATTTTTGACAAATTTAACGAAAATGGACAAAAGTTTGTTAATCTTATTGTTCAATGGGACATGGCTAGATTGACTCAGCTGTTGATTCTGATCAATAATATTTATGGTTGAAATGATTCCTTCACTGATTGCAAGCTCCTGACTTCATTTAAAATACCCTGCAAAAGTGTAAACAAAAGACAGACCAAAGTAGAGCAGGAAACGAGAGCAATAAACAATTGAAAATGTCAGGCATAAATCATGCAACATATTGCAAGGTGGCTGCCTTAGTTAAATAACAGATAAATACAGGAAAATTAACTTAAATGCAGGTTTATTGTGCGCACCAAGGAATTGCGAGTACGTTCATGGAAAGCATAAAACAAAGCCCCGGATTTCCCCCCCCCCCACTCTGTGTTTACACTAAGACAACAGCTCTTTGGGAACTCGAGATGAGCTGGACGAACAAAAAACGGAAAATATTCCATCGCTTCATTAGCTGCCATTTCGGCGGCCATTTTCTGGGCCAAAAATTTACGTACAGACTAGAATTTCGGGCTGGCAGAAGACGAAAATGAACCGTCTGGCGTCGATGCAAATGCGTAATGGATACTCGGAAAAGTGACTCGATGTGGCAGGCACCTGAAGAGGCTGTCCTGCGTTGTTATTAATAACTGAACATTAATCATGGCCACCTGCTTTCGGCATTCGCTCAAATGTTTAGTGCTTAGCTTGTAATTGAAGCCGAGATTGTAATGATACACCGAACCGGAGAGCGCACTTAAGCCACTGACTTAGTCCAAATGGGAGTTTGTTAATTAGGGGAAATGTATGGATATATTCCGCAAAAAACACTTATTTGTATTATTGAAATACCACAATTCATTTATGTTATTTCTACATATTTCTTGGTTGCATCTCCAGCCGAGCCAATAAATATCCCATTTCTGGAAACAATTATTTTAAATGCCCCTTTGACAATTCTAAACATTCCCATTGCTTGTTAATTTAAGAGTTTTCCAGTGGTTTCCTTCTGTTTTTGGTAAGCTTAAGCCGGAATGAAAATTTTAATTAAATTTTTGGAGGCAACATCTTCGGGCAAGTTTAGAGCGTGAGCATAGGAAAAATGGGAAATTTTCTTTCTCATTTGGTTGGTACCTTGTCAGCAAACATTTTTGACATTTTCATTTGTCAGTTATGAAGCAGACACAGACACGAGATAGAAAATCCTGGCATGCATTTGCGCGTGTGTGTGTGTGTGTGTGTGTGTGTGTGTGTGCGTGCGCCCATTTGTTATATCCTTATCACAAAATGATTTGACAGTCGAGGAGACCAACCAACCTCTGCTGAATGTGTAACACTCACACACTTGGCCCGGAAAAGTCTGTGAAACTTTTTCTATTTTGTGTGATTTAATAAGACGACATGAGCGCAGCAGCAGCCTTGGGGCAATTCGAGAGATTTGTTCAACTCCGTCCGGCAACTGCTTGAATTATACGGGCTAGATAAATATTTATTTTATTTTCACATGTCGTCCCGTGTTTTCGCAATGGCTCGGCTCTGACACGTCCCCTAAACTGCTGTCATTGGAAATAATTTCAATTTCATTCCATCGGCTTCTAGCTGCCTTGAAAAAATCAATAGGCATTTACACCAAATTGACCTTTCACTCACTAGCAGATGAAAATTTCATAAGAAATTGATTGTGCTATCGGTTTGCTGTGAAATCCCTTTGAAATATTGATGACTCTGATGATACCGGCAATCGTGTTGGGTAATTTGTGTGCGAAAAAGGATTTCCACTGCAGCTTACAAGTTATTTTTCCCATCTGCTCGTACAACATGACGTATGCGTGATAATTAAATGTGTAAGTTGTAGAGCAAAGGAAAGAGAGACAGAGATTTATTGAGCCGTTTATTTTGTCAATAACAGTATTAATTATCTGCATTGGAGTTATTTATGTTATTTAAATAAAATGTGGTATATATTTCATGCCTTAAGAAGGGAATGTAAGCAATACTCTTGAAGTATTTAAACTTGAATAACATTTATATGCATTTTATATACATAAACACCACAATGACTATGTATTTGCGGTAACTAAATAAATTGTCCCATCAAGTTTAGGCCACACTCCATTCTCTAATACCAATTTAAACGCTTGAGCTGGAAAAATCTTCGTGGAACCGCACAGTTTTACGACTAAAGTGCCTCGCCTAATAAGCCTAAGCTAATTAAAAACTTATCAACAGCTGCGTTAAAATGCCAATTTGGCTGGCGTTAGCCAGTTGCCGTTGGCAACACGACGACAGACCGCAGTAAATAACTCGAGGTGGCTTCGTGGAGGGCCAACAAATTGCATTACTGAATTTACCAAAAACTAATTCAAAAGGCTCGAGCTTCAGCTTCAGCTCCATAATAGGCCTCTTTAATTTACACTTGGACGTGAAGTCAGTCCTGGAGGGACTTCAAAGGGGCTCTGGGAACATGTCATAACATGGCGAAATTAAAATTTACATCACAACTTAAGCGACGTCCGGACGCAGGCTTTCGTCCTTTATTTCTCATGTTTTTTTCGCTACTCATATTCTTTTTTTTTGGCAGGCAGAGCACTTAATTTGGCACATTGCCGTGCATATCCTGGCGACAACCATCCGCCCAGGTGCAGCCACAGTGGCGACAACAAGCAGCATTTTGTTGTAGAATGCATACATTTTTTACAACCTTCCAGCAAAGGAGAGCAGTGCCGGATCAGTGTTGTCAGGTATAGCTTAGAGGAAAGGTGGGTTTGTTTCTTAAAAATTTAATCAAGTTTTATGAAAGACAAAAGATTACTTCACACCTCAATATATAAACCAGTAAATTAATCATGAATTTTAGAAGGCAATTTAAACAAACATTATATTTTGTGCTTAATATACAATTTAATTATGTAGTGAGAGT